AAGTACATAATGTCCAGGCCGATTCTTTCTGGAAGGATTGGAAAATGGGCATTACTGTTGTTTGAGTTCGATATCAAATTCATTCCACAAAAGGCCATTAAAGAACAAGCTTTGGTGGATTTCCTTGCTGACCACCCAATTCCAACGGAATGGGAACTTCAGGAAGACCTTCCCGATGAAGATGTTCTATTCACCGAAATCGTACCATCATGGAGGCTATACTTCGACGGGGTAGCCCGAAATTATGGTGCCGGAGCAAGAGTAGTCTTCATCACTCCTCATGATCTCGTCATGCCCTACTCATTTGCCTTATCAGAGAAATGTTCGAATAATGTGGCAAAATATCAAGCTCTTAGCATCGGCTTAGAGACAGCCTTGGATATGGATATCCACCAACTGGAAGTCTTTGGAGATTCCAAATTGATAATCAACCAACTTTTAGATGAATATGAAGTCCGTAATTCTGACTTGAAGTCGTATCATGAACGTGCAACAATGCTTATGAGACAATTTGATTCGATAAAAATCAAATTCGTCCCGAGAAATGAAAATAGGGAAGCTGATGCCTTAGCTAATTTGGTTGCTGTTTTAGCTAGATCAGATGAAGAATTTTCCCACTCCATATCAATTGCTCAAAGATGGGTGTTTTCGTCATTGCTACCCAGTAATTTGGAAGAAAACAATAGTGTCGAAGTAGATGAAGGTGAGGAAAGAGAAGATTGGGGACAGCCAATAATTGATTTCCTTCAACATCAAAATCTACCAGATAATCCAAGGTAAAAAACAGAAATCAAGAAGCATGCCTCTCGCTTTATCTTTTATAAGGGAACACTTTATCGACGATCATTTGATGGAGTTTTCCTTCGATGCCTAAGTAATGATGAAGCAACGCAGGTTGTGGAAGAAGCCCACTCTAGAATTTGTGGTGCCCACCAGTCTGGACCTAAACTTCGTTTTCGAATAAAGAGGATGTAATATTACTGGCCAACTATAGTACAAGACTCCATGGATTATACAAGAAAATGTGAAGCTTGCCAAATCCATGCGAATTTCATCCATCAACCTCCGGAACCATTACATCCAACAGTAGCTTCATGGCCGTTTGATGCATGAGGTCTTGATGTAATTGGACCTATAACTCCAAAGTCTTCAGCAGGGCATACATACATCCTCGCCGGGACCGACTACTTTTCTAAGTGGGCCGAAGCCATACCATTGAAGGAAGTAAAGAAAGAAAATATTGCAGATTTCATTCGTATCCAAATCATTTATCGATATGGTGTTCCGCAGTATATCATAACTGATAACGACAAGCCATTTTGCAATAGCCACATAAACAATTTATGTGCAAAGTTTGGATTCAAACAGTACAACTCGTCCATGTACAATGCAGTAGCTAACGGATTGGCAGAGGCATTCAACAAAACACTATGCAGTCTACTGAAAAAGGTTGTCTCCAAATCAAAAAGAGATTGATATGAGAAAATCGATGAAGTCTTATGGGCTTATCGAACTACTTATCGAACTCCAACACAAGCCACTCCTTATGCCTTAGTATATGGGATAGAAGTTGTCCTTCCCCTGGAGGGTCAAATTCCATCACTTCGAATTGCTATCCAGGAAGGTTTGACAACTGAAGAAAATTTCCGCCTTCGAGTGGAAGAGCTAGAAACTTTGGATGAGAAGAAGTTAGAAGCACCAATGCATCTAGAATGCTATCAAGCTCAAATGGCCAAGTCTTTTAACAAAAAGGTGCGACCAAGATCATTTCAAGTTGGAGATCTGGTACTTTCTGTGCACAAGCCAATCATTATCACAAGAAAAACAGGGGGGAAGTTCCAATCTAAATGGGATGGTCCATTTCTTGTTACTCATGCATTCACTAACGGAGTGTACAAGATCGTCGACAAAGATGGATTGCAAATCGGACCTATCAATAGAAAATTTTTAAAGCGTTTTTACGCCTGAAATTCTTTATTTTTAAATTTTTCATTATACAAAAAAAATTGTGTTCTTGTAATGAATTACGTTCGATTTGATCCCGTTTGGGTACGTAGGCAGCTTGAATAAATTATAAATTCAAATTCAGTCACAACTAATAAATTCATTCAATTTGTTTATCAATTGATGTAAAAAGCACAAGAAACATGAAAAAGAAAAGTTTATTCAAATAAAAATAGTAAGTCAAAATTCAAACAATAAGGTCTTAAAAAAAACAGATCAAAAATTCATGACCTCATCAGAATCACTCGCCATTGATCACTCGTAGGAAACTATCTTCAAGGGTCTTCCTTTTCTGGTCAATGGATGCTATGCTAGCGACATCTCTTGTCTGTGCTTTTTCCAATGCTGCCTTCTTAGTTTCAATCATACTGTTGTCTTCCTCTTGGGCTTGATGTTCATCACAAAGTCTATCTAGCTCAAAGGTTAGCTCACTAATTTTGCCTCTCAACGAAGAACACGTGGAATCCTTTACTTCCAGCTGAATGTTCAAAAGTTTCAACTCCTCCGCCTTTTCCTCAATGGTTGGACAATCCAAGTGTTGCTTCCTTTCAGACAAGTAAAAGTCAATTTTTTTAGAAACACATCCATGCGTTTCATCAAAGGTGCTGGGTCTACGTGGAATGAGTTGGTAATCACATTCTGAAGAATTAAATTATTTTCATCCCACCAAGATTGAATATTGGAGAATCCATACTTTAAGACATCCTTAAAACATTTCTGGAGGTAATTATTCATAGCTTCTTGCAGAGCAGCCTTCAAATAAGGAGACTCTTAGGTAATTCCAGGTGGAGGACCAGACATGAAAGAACAGATTGGTGCAGCCCGATGATTATTTGTTGGTGAAGGCGAAATACTGACTAAAGCCAACGAAGATGGAATGACAGGAACTCCTTGATTGACCTCTGGAATGTTAGCTCTCACAATACCTGAATTTACTTCATCTTCAACATTAAAATTGTCCATGATATGCACCAAAGTACCTCCATTGATGGTGCCTGGATATTTGCAAAGAAGGTCATGAGAATCATTAATACCATCTATTCCTTGAAGTGCATCGATTCGCCCGTCATTCTCGCCAATCTGATCTTGCAAAAAGTTTGGATTCATGGAGAAATATAGTTCTTCAGGGATGCTGGGAAAACCTACAAGAAATAGAGCATGGTTTCAAAAAAAAAGAAGGGAAAAAGTGCAGCAAACAACAACAGGGCACATACCTGCATATCGTGTCCTGGGCGACATGTCTAAAAATCCACGATCTAATGATGTGTTCGGGAGGCTGAGGTTAATGTGAGAATCTCCAACTTCACCTTTTGAAAGAGTTGAAATAGCTTGAAGCAGCCTCAGTTCTATTGGTCGTTTGATTTTGTATATTCGAGAAAGAGGAGGCTGAAATTGAAGATTGTGACAGAAAATCGGATACAAACAGTACATAAAATAAAAAATAAAAAAAAGGGGAGAACTATACCTGATCTCCAGAACTTTCATCTTCTGGAGTCATAGTCTTTCCTGATGCTTATGATGCTCAATATCTAGGACTACTGTGATGTGGAATCAAAATTGCTTCTGACACCTTATCAGCAGGCTCAGAGGTGGCAGCAACCTTTGTCTAGGGAACTATAATTTTGATTCTCTTAATACCTCTTTCATTTTCCTGGTTTAGATCTCTCTTTCGAGAAGTCTCTTCAAAAGCAGCATTTGGAGGGTTTAACCCTCTAGCTAAAACCCTGTTCGGAGTCGAGCCAAGAACAAAGTCACAGCTCTCACTAGAAAATAAGACTTGCACCTGGACCTTGGTCAAGAGTGGTAACGCTTTGCTATTCCACCAAGCCTGGTATTCAACATCAATGTTTTGATGTATATCACTCATATACTCTGGAATATGAAATACAGACCCACTTTTTATCCGAGTTAGGGACAACCAAACCCGATACATATCACCTACACTGGGGGCAATATTCAACTTTCTTGGTGAACCGGGAAGTTTCTGTCTAAAGCCAAACTGTCTCGCAAACCTGTGAGGATTATATGCCTCAAAAATGAAAGGTGAATTTCCTCGACGATAAGAGACAAACCCAGATCGAATACTCATCATGAATTCTGAAGTATCTGCAGACCTCGATTGGTCATCCACACGTACATCAGGATGAGACGATGAGGGTGATGGATTCCAGCAAAAGTTATCGGTGTTCATTGCTCCACAAATAAATTCTTGACAATCAACGACATTTTTCTCCTAAGATTGAAAAACATTCAGAGTTCCAGTATATCTTCGAATTATAAGGCGAGAATAACTCTTGTCTACATGAAGATAAACACCTCGGACAAAATAAGTTGCTGCCCAAGTATAAAGAAATTGTCCAGGAAATGAATGTGAAATTGAGCCAAGATCTGGATTTGCCTGATAGTTAGATGTTCATGTAAGTCCACTATAAATGCTAGCTAATATGGGTGGAACCAGACTATAAGTGTATCCGCCTGCCATCCTAGAAGATACTTTAAAAGTCCCGACTCTTATACTTTCGTCTCCAGATGGAAGAACGAAGCGACAAAGTCATAGGGAGAGATAGGCTGCTATCTCTAATTCCTCTTATTTTTCCATAGACCGAGATATTGGAAAATTGCCCCAATGCCTTCGATCCCTACGAGTAATGTCTCTTGGCTTGTTTGCCGCCACGGGCCTCCGTATTTCCTTCGATATTCTTTGATGATGCCTTTTGAAAGGATTTAAATTCATAGCATTCTTATAATTTTTGTGTTATCGAGGGTTTGGGACACAACCATTCTCATGAAACCAAAAATTAATCCACTGTTTGTGAGTAACTCTATCAAATTCATTCGCATGGGCAATCAATGCGAAAACATTAAAGAGATACAAACAAGACTTGGGAAGATGATCCATCAACTCTGAAAGGCTTGGGACTACTTTCTCATAATAATGACCCATGATCGAAAGTCCACTTATCTCGCGGATGTTGTGAAGAGAAATGCCAATTTCAACATTGGCAGTCACAAAGGTGTTGGTTTCTGGACACCAAACCTCACAAAGAGCTCTGTAAATGGAGTTTGGACAATGGTAATCTTTTGTAGCAGAACCGACTGCAAAAGCTAACTCTAGAAGATCCTCTTGAGCAGAAGTTTATGGACCCACAAAGACCACTACCAAAATTTTGGAAGAAAAGACATCTCTCCTCGACTGACCAGTGCGCTTCCCCGTCGTATTTCTCTATTATCAATTCTCTCACAAATCACAGCTCTTGAGATGTACTCCATGCTCTGGGAATGATGAGGCGGAAGACACAAAAAGGGAAGATGACTGCTAGAGCGATTGTACTTGCCAGTATCCAAACTCTCGTGACAATTACTAATGGTGGACATATGAAACTCCGACAATGGCTCCAGAAGGTCGGGGGAAGGATCTGTCGTTGGCTTATGGACACTAAATCTAGTTTACCTCGTACGCCGGTCTGGGCATGGCACTTTACATCAGTATCTTTGAAATGCAAATAAGTTTTGCCTTGATTTTTAAACTCAACAATTTCATGCATGTCAGAGCACGCTTTATCATCAGAACTTGTTCCAGCCATGCCTGCAAAAAAAAAAATAGTCAGCAAAAAAAAAGGGGGCAGTAAATCTCTCAAATTGGTTTATTGTTTAAAATCCCGAGTTTTCCAAATATATAAGCAGCCACTATAAAAAGTGTCTTTGACGATGGAAGGAACAAGTCCTTGGTCCCAACACAAAGTGTCTTGGACAGTTGAAGGAGTCAGTCCTTGGTT